ACAAAGCTTCAAACGTCCTTTGATTCATGCGTAGAATGTCGTAGCATTGCTGATCAGATCCATACTTAAGTTGTTGAACAAAACGCCATCCTGCTCCTCGATCTGTTCTGTGACTCAACCTCGCAGGAATAGCCACATCAAACAATCCAAGCTCATCATCATAATCATCATCATCATCTTCCAATATCCATCTCTTAAGTTCCTCAATCTGTTCAAGCAAACCAAGATTGTTTATTAGTGTTTTCTTAAAAAACCCAACAGCTGCAACAGAAATTTAATAACTGAATTGTTCTCAACAACTGCAACAAAGTCATATGTTCTCTATGCATGAATTGTTCGATACTAATAATACTAATAGCAAAATAGTTTCATAACTGATTATAAAAAGCCACAAAAGGCAAAGTTTCATACAAAGATCAGACAAATATCACAAAAGAGTTCCAGCAAGACTAAACTACTAGTTCCAGAAACTAACTAAATCACAAAAGAGTTCCCTACTAGTTCCAGAAACTAACTAAATCGCAAAAGAGTTCCAGCAAGACTAAACTACTAGTTCCATCAAGTTCCAGCAAGACTAAACTACTCAAGCATCACGTTTAATCTTGGTCCTAAGCTCCAAAAACTTGGTCTTCGCTTCATCTGTCTTCATCGTTATGAATCCCTTTCGGCTCCCTTCACTATCAATCAAAAGCTCAATCGATGCTTCATACAACGGCGACCACTCTATCACTTCAGGCAGTGCATACAACATCTCCAATNGAATCAGCTTCATCCTCACCAATGTCTCCACCAACTCTCGAATCCAAACTTGCTTCTCCAGTTTGAGCGCTCCAACCTTCTGCTCCGGTTACCACTACACCACCAAATTCTGCTTCAAACAGATCCATGTTATCGATCTCTTGGCAGGAGGCTCTTCTAATCCCAGGACACTCCTATATAACAAAAGAGAAAAGAGTAAATCAGGTTCACAAATAATATATTCTAAAATAACTATTAGTCATCAAAGTCATAAAAGACATAATCATGTACAGAGGCTAAATAAATGTGGATGTCACTTTAAATAAGAGAAACTATTAACAACAATAAAAACAAACGAACACCCTTAAGCTACTGATACATCATACTACTCCTTAAGTCCACTTATTGCATCTCAACAACATATCTATTAACCCAATCAGGAAGAGGCAGCAATAGAATTTACAGCTCAGTGTTCTTAGCTCATTAACCAGTTCTAACAAGCAACTTCTCTATTAAACCACCGTAAGATAATAGCCTAAAATTAACTTAAAACAGAAGTTACAGCAGTAATGTACGGTCCACGATCTCGAGCTTAATGTTCTTAGCTTCATTTGTATAAACAGTTTCTCAATCAAACCATATAACAATAGCAATTTTTGAAACAAAGCTTTACATAACCACATCTTTAATTTAAAAAAAAAACTTCCCTTAATGAAACCATAATCCAGATAGCAAATTTCGATCATCAACAAGAGAGTAAGACAAAATAGATAAGAGAATGAGATACTGACCTTTTCCCGTTCATTCCACCAATCTTCTGACATGTCAATCCTTCCCATTCTATCAAACCCAAGCCCTGTCCTATTCTGAGTCAGCGTCCTATTCTTGATGTACTTCTTCCTACTGTTATCGTATTTGTTCTTGTAAGCCTTCCAGTCGGGAAAATCTTTCTTAAACCGCTGTTGAAATGCATCCATGATGGCCTTTTTCCCNACCAACTTTATTTCCTTTTTTTCTCTCTTCCGCGTAGAGTTCGAAAAAATACCTAGTTTCCTCAGGTTTCCAAGACCCAGACTAAAGCAAACCAAAATTAATCAGTTATTCCATAAGACCC